TTAGCATCTTTTAAAACTTTGTTTTTCGAGTTGCACAGTCACAGCTATTTCCATCACCTTAGAACTTCCATAAAAAATTAAGTCTGCAATTATGATCGTGGATGTGACCAGTCATTTCACTGACCTCGCAAGTCTGACATTTTAGATTTTTTGTACCATAATGAGACTTTTGAAGTCTGCATTCTAATCAATGAATCATAATTTTTTTTTGTATAAATTTTCTTGTTACATTGTAGGGGCAATGTTACGATAACATTGTTAAGTCAAAATAATGATGTTGATAAAAAAATTATATTGTAAAAATTATAGAAGAAAATTAATCACGTTTTCTGTAAATTTCTAGAAAATTAAAGTGAATTTTAATTTTCAGTCTTGAGTATATTNTCAAGGACAAAGTTTCCGCCTTGTTAAATCCGCATCGTGCGCACCCCGTAACATTGATCATAACAATACAACGATATAGCATTAAATTTGCTCATAACTTTAATTTTAATAAAATAAAAGTTTGAAACATAGAACAAAATCACAGAGAACGCTTTTTCCGAAATGTTAACTATGCATTACTTTAATAATAATATTAATAGACAACAGGATACAGAGAAATTAAAATTTTTACTTTGTTCAGAAATAATTTTTATATTCAACTTAGAGAAGAAAAATATATATTCATATTATAAATGCGCAGGAAATATACATGTAATCATCAGGAACTTAAGATATAGTTATAATTCATGTAGATTTTTTTTCCTTAAGATTATAGATATAAATACGATTTTAGAATAATTTTTTTTTTGGAAAAAATCTGTTTTCTAATCTAAACAAGTTTAATAACCGTGTAGCTCAACAGATGATACACAATGTATGACTATACAAGCAAGTTACGTTTTTAGAAAAATCATTTGCGCTTTTTCATAAAGTTAAAAATTACAACAAAAATATTGATGGGATTCAATATTTTTAAAGTTTATAATTGCGCTTTTATAAGTAAAAGAATTTTTAATACATTTTGTGGTGTAAACAAAATTTCTAAAAAAAATTAAACGAACATTGAGTAGTATATGGAGATGAATATATAAAATATTTCAGAAGTATTCATAATAGTTTGACATGTATAACAACAAAAAAGTTTGAGGTCTTAAATAATAAAGTACTTTATTGTTATACTCTAAACTTGGGATGAGAATAAATACAAAGAAATAGGTTAACTTTTTTTTTACTTTAAAATTTCTGAAACTTTCTATAAAGTTTGAAAACAAATGAACAAAATTAATTTACTCATAAATACAAGTTCTGTGCTGTTTATTGCTAGTATTACTAATTAGGTAAAAATAATATTGAAGATGCAGTTTTTTGTATAGGTATCTCACTTCTCACGCTTAATAATAACTGGTCGAACTAATCTTGTAATCCAAGAAACAACAACTTTAACCTTTTTTAGGTTACATTTGTATGTATTTCCGTTTACCTGTAGTTCCTCAGGCACCATGGCATACAATTTCTCATCCAGCTCTCCATACGGAAAAGTGGTCTTGACATCGAACTGGATTATCTTGAGGTCCTTGTGTGCTACCAATGTTAAAAGAATGTGCAGAGACTAGTATTTCAACACCGAAGCATAAGTCTGTGCGTAGTCAATTCTTTCTTTTTATCGATGTTCTCTTATGCATAGCCTAGCTTCGTTCCTTGTTACTCGCCTAGTAGTGTTGTTGAAAAACCAATTGATCCGCAGCAACCTAAAACTTAATGGTCAGGAATTTGAAACGATTCAGTTCACTTGAAATTAACACTTGTACTCTTTATTAGAATATAGAGAACTGCGAAACACAAGAATTTAACCGAAGTTATTACAGAAATTGCTTGAGCTAATAATTAGTGCAGTGGGAAAAGTTACTAGAAAGTGTCGCGCAGATGTGCCCTACTCGACGATCAGCGGCGAACTGAACTGAGGGCGCTCTATCGTTGCCTGAGTGAGCCGCTGCTCACTTGACATAGGTTGGTAACAATGTCGAGATATAGTAATGTAGTGCCTAAAATAGTTGAAAATGTCGAGCGCTTAAATTTAAACTAGAAATAATGTCCCTGTTATCTCAATCCTAAACAGGTGTTCTCTTACGATTTAAATATCCAGTTCATTTCAAGCCTTTTTATACATTCTTTTCGAGGTATTAAACTCCAGAAATTATTTTTGTGATGAAAAGCCAATTTGTCTTGAACTGCTTTTTCTCAGGTTCTTTCATGGCCTCGCTCAAGGACACTGGCTCTTGTATCGTCAAAAATTTGGCTTTGAGGTACTTTGATGGCTTATTAACCGTCAAGCGGTTCCTGAGTTTCAAACTCGCATCCACGATTATTTGTTTCTTGGACTCCAACTGCTCTTCCTCCTCCAACTCCATCAGCTCACCCACTTCTGCTCGCTTCTTCTCATGAACATGTTGATCATCTTACTCAAGGCAGTCATCCGGGATCGCTTGTTTTTGCTGCGCCTACTCGATTTTAAGCTGCAAGAAATTCTTCAGGCTGCCGTTGGCTGCAGACTCTACGCCTCTATATCTTTTGATCAGCCAAGAAAACGGCTTACTTTGACGTTTTCCTCCTCCGCAAAAACGACGTCTTTCATAGCTGTAACTTTGTTACTCAAAAGATCATATACACGATATTTGCACGTGCTCGGCTGATGTACTATCACAACTATGACGGTGAGATACCGTCACGTCATCATTGGTATGCTAGGACAGATAGGGAAAGAGGGAAAAGAGAAAAAGCGAAGAGGACAGTTAGGAAAAGAGGGAAAAGGGTAAAAGCGAAGAGATCAGATTAGCTTGGGCTCTCAAGCGTGCGAGAAGCAATTTTGTTTTGTTACGCGAGAAGCGAGATTTCTTTGTTTTTTCACGCGAGAAGCATCGGTTAGAGTTTTCTCCGTTTTTGTGATCGCTGCCATTGAGTGTCCCCGGTGCAGTGCTTGGTACGAAGTGTCCTGGCCCTGCTGAGATAGCAGGCGACGCTGGACTCAAGGTTACCAGGGCCAACCTCGACGACCTTATCTTTCAAATGCTGGCAGTAGGGACGGCTACTGGCCTCAGCGTTCCCGCTTGATGGCTGCTTCAGACCTGGCCTAGCAAAGGCATCGCCGAGGATCTTATTAGCGCCCGTGAATACCAGTGGCCCCCAATTAGTCCGCGTATTTAGTCAGCCTGTGCCGCGATTTTACGCCGCGAGCACGTCGAGCAATCGCGTTCGACGTGCTATCACATACACACACACACAGAGAGAGAGAGAGAGAGAGAGAGAGAGAGAGAGAGAGAGAGAGAGGCATACACCTGCGAATACTGTTTGTATTTGGACATTCCTTTATTGAATATAGATTCAATTTTAATATAATACTCGCGAGTATTTATTTTATTCGTGTGTTATTTTCCCTTTGTGTTATATTTCTGAAGTCGTCGTGAGAAGCAACGACACCTGTAGCCGCGATATCTGTACCCAGCGGTGTCTCAATGGACGAGGCCCGCGCAGAAATATTGCAGAGAGCGTTGCTGCGGGTATCCGGGCATCACTGGCCCGGTCAAGGACAAAGTCTCCGCCTTGTTAAATCCGCATCGTGCGCACCCCGTAACATTGATCATAACAATACAACGATATAGCATTAAATTTGCTCATAACTTTAATTTTAATAAAATAAAAGTTTGAAACATAGAACAAAATCACAGAGAACGCTTTTTCCGAAATGTTAACTATGCATTACTTTAATAATAATATTAATAGACAACAGGATACAGAGAAATTAAAATATTGTCATAAGTCTCTCGTTATGTCTGTTAGGGAAGAAGACTTACTTGATTAACATGATTTGGCGGGCATCTTTTATTTATAGTATTAGGAACACATGTACTGTTTGTATGATTCTCAATAGAAACTGCTTGCAATTCTAATTCGATTATATTGCGTACATTTACTATGTCATTTGTGTATGTGAAGAGTATAAAAGCAGCTAAACATGAAACTTTGACTACGTTATGATTTTCCATCCCTTTCGTAAGAGTCAGAGGTACTTTATACACTCAACTAAACTTGCGTTTATTGTATATTACCGAAATTCGTAATATAAAAATTATTTCGTATTACTCACAGCTTTTTGTACCTGATGAGGGCCGGGATGTTGTTTAAACAGCCGGAACGTTGTTTTTGATTTTGAATAAATACAAAAATATGACAGTACCATCATTGGACGTTGTTTTTAATTAACAAAAATATGTAGCTAACGCTTAATTAACTTAGTAGGGTTGGCTTCATTGTTTTAAGAACCCATGTATATTTACCACTTAATAAAATGTTTTTGTTTTGTTTAACAGAAGAGTAAAGCCACTTTCAGTGTCATATTAAAACTACCGTTAGAGGAATCATTGTTTTAGCATTCTAATACACTTACACGTACTTTATTTTTGGTACTGTAGCAACTTTATTATTAATATTTTTTGGTGAAACTGTTGATCAGTATCAAAGATGATAAATCAAATCAAAAACATTAAGCATACCAAAAAAAATTTCTTTTTTTACTTTTTCAAAATAAATCAACTCGAACTTTAAGTAAATAGTGTCGTGGTCACTAAGTCGTCGTCTGCTTCGCTAACTTACATCGTCATGCCCTTGTGCTACCGCATAATAATATCTTGTTGAGGTAATTCGAATCATAAGACAATTATGATTATATAATCGTCACATTTGAAGCATCTGAAGTCGATTTTAAATTTGTATGTTATGCAGGGTAATGGGTTCGATCTAATTTAATATGTTGAGTTGAATCAATATATTCAATTCCACATTACATAAAAATATAATTACAAACAAGTTATTTAGAATTGCTTTACTTTCAATCGACCAAATCCACTGAGTCAGTAATTACTCTTGAAATTCATTCTAGTCAATTTAAAAATCTTTACGTTTATAATAATAATAAAATATACAACAAGAAATAAAATACACATACATGTTTTTTTATGCAGAGTACCACAAGGCTTTAACTAAAAGGCAACAATTGGATGGGCAATTAAATGAAAACACTGTTGTACAACAAGAGCTAGAGCTTCTGCAAAATGGAAATGATGTATATAAGCTTATAGGACCTGTCTTAGTAAAACAAGAATTAATTGAAGCGAAAGAAAATATTCAAAAGCGCATCAAATTTATTACGTCTGAAATGTAAGTAGATCACTATACTTTTATCAATCTACATTTTAAATTTACATGAAACTACTTACTTAAACTTATCAATTGCAGGAAACAAACAGAAGGTTTGATTTTGTCATTAGATGAAAAAAAAGAAGTTCATAGAGAAAATCTAGAAAAACTGCAACTATCATTTCATCAGGCTCAAGTAAAAACTAAAACAAAAGCTTAAAATGTTATTTTTTGTATCCACCATAAAAATAATGGTAATATTCAAACAAAAAATTTTTATCAATGAAGCTGTCGCATTCAAATAAAACAAATTTTTTAATTTTGAATATTTTTTCCTTGAAATACATCATTTTCAAGTTCTAACGTAACTCAAATCCACTTTTTAATGTGCTACAACCCTCAACAAAGAACAACTTTTTTGAGTCATAAAATAAGTTAATTCTATATGATAATAATAATCAAAAAAACTTGTAATATAGACTATTAGGGCACACTCCTTTAGTAATAATAGTATTTCGTATGGTTTAATCAAGTTTCGCTTTCTGGATGAAAAACTCTGAAATAGTCGAAAAATTACTCAGGAAAATAAGATGCTGTAGCTATTTTTTCTAAGCTGTATCGTCGAAGTTTATTACTATCGAATATATCCGTACGTGTGTGTGAGAGAGAGAGAGAAAAAAAAGTAAATGCCATCAGTCATACATTACCGTTCTCTCTATCAATTTTAATTGACCTAAGCTCTTTTTTCTTTTAGCTTTTAAACACCAGTTGAAAAAAAAAGATTTTAGATCTCGTAATGCATAGGATAATAAATAATCACAATTTTTATAGTTTACGTTCTATTAATGTCTATACAAATACACTTCTGTAAATTATCGAACATGCTTTTATATACACGTATATATGTCCACCACATACTCCCTCCCCCCGCCCTCTATAAATAAAGGGAATATTCGTCTTATTTCTCATTAAACATTTTTAACAGTAAGTAATTGTATGTATTATATAGTTATCTGGGTAGGGCATTCCACACAACCCCCTCAACAGATCCCCACGAAATAAGGTAAAAACCCGTCGTTTCCTCCCTTATTTTGACACATCGCAGTTTTTCCCAAAACCCTTCACAGCCCTCCACGTATGTTTTCATGACCCTACAACGCCCCCCCTCCCTCACTACTTTTAGGGAACCTGACAGGGATCATACCATCTTTCTCGGACCTTGATGTGTATACAGACTAGTACGTGTCGTATATGTATTAATCTATTATTATCAAACAACTTTAAGACAAAATCTTATTGCTATGATTTATCTCATTGTCAAGAAAAAGTTTAAAGTTATAATTAATTTAGAGGGGGTCAATGCTCCAAGCATTATACTAACTATATAATAAATCGTAAAGTTAACTGTTACATTATATAGTTAACTGTGTGGGGCATTTCAAGCAACGTTCCACCCTTGTAAAACCATTTATATTGGAAGTTAAAAGATTATTTATTCATTCATGTTGTACTCAAAGTCTTTCAGTGAAAATATAATATTATACATCATAAAAATGTTATCTCATATATATTTTTGTAGTGTAAAAATGATCATTTGTAAAGAAGATGTTTTTTGTGCTACAAACTTATTTTTTATCTATTTTTTTCACATTACTCAGGAAGCAAATAGATGAGCTTAATACATGCAGATAATTATTAACCATTTAATTTATACAATCCAAAGCACAATAAATAACAAATTCATATCCATTGTTCTTTAACGTACTTGTAAGTATCAAGTTCTTGGTACGCTAAGCTTTTTTTTGTTAGGATTTATGATAAACTATATGCACATGTTAATTTTTATGTGTATGTTTCATATAACCTTGTAAATGTGTTGATGAAAACAATACGTACATAAATTTAAATTACATTCATTTTACAATTAAAATGAACCGTAGAAGTTTCGCATTAAGATGACTTCTTTAATGAGTCAACTTATAAAGCCCTGTTAAATCACGAAGACTTAGGTATATTTCTTTTCTATTTCAAATTAATGTTGAAATTAGTACAATAGATAAACATAATAAAAATTCATGAAATATGGTATTAGGTAATGAATAACATTAAATAATAATATAAAATGCCAATGGCATACAAGAGGTCACAATTAAACAAGATGTAGTTAATCGTTAAAAGTTTAATGTCAATTTAAAAACCTCAAACCTGACATGTTTTGTTTTTTTTTACTTTCTTTTCTTCTCTCACCATAAGACTGTCCAACAAAACAAAAAGTTATGTAGTCTTATTGCATTACAAAGAGCTCTATTTCTAATACATTCGTATGGTGTTAACCACGGTGTTTGTTTGTAGGAACCATTGCTTGACACATAAGTATAAATAAAATATGTTTTCAGAAAATGTTCATAAATATAAACAGAGCAAAGACTGTGGTGACTCAAGCAGAGTATACATACATTTTATGACGTCACCTTGTCTGGAACGGGTCCTATACTGCGCACAGAACATATCTAGGTTGGATCCATATCACACATCTGGGTCGGATCCATATCACGGATTAAAGCTGGATTTATGATACTAATTATATAAAATAAAGACTTTGTTTCAGTAGAATAAAAAAATTTTTGATGTACATGGTCACCAACGTTTTGTACAGACCTAACGAATACTTTTAGGCTTGAAAAATCGAATGCTCTGAAATAGATAATAAAAATTGCGACAATGTTAAAATTAATCGTTAATTTTTACGTTGAAAATAATAACATACAGTTAATTATCTTTATAAACTTAATTCCAATTGTTCGCCAAAAAGCAGTATGAAGACCACTTGGCAAATTGTACAAATTTATTAATTTTGCAAAATAATTCTTATGTCTGTTGTTATAATGAGAAAAAGACATTATAAAACTGAACAATCCATTACGAAAAACTCTTAAATCATGATTTTACTGAGGAAAATAACGATTTATTTCCTTGATATAAAATATGCAGCTTGAATAAGCATTGCAATAACTTTTACATTCATTTAAAAAAGTCGCTAAATACTTTATCTTGTAGGTCATCCCATTACTTTTTAAATCATTCATTTCGTTTTTAAAATCTTTAAAGTCACTCTAATATTTTTGTTAAGAACTCGCTATGTGCAGTAATTTGAAACAGCGCCACCTGTACGGTAAGAAGAAGGCGATGCTGGATAACACGATTACATATCCTGTTATGGGCTGCAAACTTTGTTAATTGTTTTTTTTAGTTTTAATGCATTATTGATACTTTAAGTATCGATTTTTAGTGTCAAGAATTTGTTTCAAACAGATAACAACTGTTATTTTACAGTTAAAAAAAAAATAAATAAATAATGCATTTGCTTCTACACATACATGGTTAAGCTAGGGCAAAGTATTAAGACAGCCACCAAGAGTTAGTCATCTATGCTGTGATATTAATGGAAAAAGTAAAACAAATAATAGAATCATAATAGAAATAAACAGTGAGTATTATGAATTTGTAGGTTATAAGTAAGGTATGCCCCCTGACACCGTTTAAAACCTAAACAAATTTATTAAATAAGTAAAAATATTCATTTGTATCGTTATAATAATTGTATGATGAGAAAAACAAGTAACTACAAAAACATTTTTTTTCTATTATGAAAATAGGTAAAGAATTTTTAATACTAAATTTAATTTATTACAAATGTGTATACATATATATGTATCTTCCTATATTATATAGTTACCTTAGTGAGGCATTCCACACAACCTCCAACATACCCCCATTCTACCCCTTACCGCTGCCCCTCACAAAATAAGGTAAAAATTCGTCATTTTCTTCCTTATTTTAATACATTTCAGTTTTTCCAAAATGCCTCAGAGCCTCTCGGGGACCCCCCACAGACCCCCACGCATTTTTTTGTGACCCTTCACCGCCCTTACACTACTTTTGGGGAGCCTGACTGGGATCATACAGTCTTTCTTGGACTTCGATGTGTATACAAACTTGTACGTGTCATATACGGATTAATTTATTATTTTAAATCTGATTGTGAGTCATTATTTAATTACTTTAAAACAAAACTGTTTAATCAACATGATTTATCTCATTGTCAAGAAAAAGTTTAAAGTTATAATTAATTTAGAGGGGGTCAATGCTCCAAGCATTATACTAACTATATAATAAATCGTAAAGTTAACTGTTACATTATATAGTTAACTGTGTGGGGCATTTCAAGCAACGTTCCACCCTTGTAAAACCATTTATATTGGAAGTTAAAAGATTATTTATTCATTCATGTTGTACTCAAAGTCTTTCAGTGAAAATATAATATTATACATCATAAAAATGTTATCTCATATATATTTTTGTAGTGTAAAAATGATCATTTGTAAAGAAGATGTTTTTTGTGCTACAAACTTATTTTTTATCTATTTTTTTCACATTACTCAGGAAGCAAATAGATGAGCTTAATACATGCAGATAATTATTAACCATTTAATTTATACAATCCAAAGCACAATAAATAACAAATTCATATCCATTGTTCTTTAACGTACTTGTAAGTATCAAGTTCTTGGTACGCTAAGCTTTTTTTTGTTAGGATTTATGATAAACTATATGCACATGTTAATTTTTATGTGTATGTTTCATATAACCTTGTAAATGTGTTGATGAAAACAATACGTACATAAATTTAAATTACATTCATTTTACAATTAAAATGAACCGTAGAAGTTTCGCATTAAGATGACTTCTTTAATGAGTCAACTTATAAAGCCCTGTTAAATCACGAAGACTTAGGTATATTTCTTTTCTATTTCAAATTAATGTTGAAATTAGTACAATAGATAAACATAATAAAAATTCATGAAATATGGTATTAGGTAATGAATTTTGTCCATACATATAAAAATATCTAAACCATGTTATTATGAGATACATTATAACTTACAATTGAAAATTTTTTTTTCCAAACTGTATATTTAATGACTTGAATATTTTTTCTATTGATTTAAACAAAAATTTTATTTTCATTTTTGCATCTCGATAAAGCCACGTACAATTGACCATAAGAAAATAAAGATTTTTTCGAGAATAATCCCACATTATCAAAACTTCCACCTTGAGACTTGTTTATATTCATAGCAAATGATACACCTCATGAACATTGTTTTCTGTGTCAAATGGAAGGTAATAATATTTTTGGTAAAAAATAAAATTTATGGAATAAAAA